AGCGACGAGGACGTTTTGGCCACTGCGCGCGTTGTGTTGTTTGACGTCGACGGCCGACTGCGCACCCTCGGCTACATGCTCGTGGCCTCGGGCGTCGAGACCACGCTGGCCCACCTGGCGCTGGATACGCTGGGCGACACCACCGAAGCCGCCGCTGTCCGCCGTGCCGCTGGTGCCGTCGTGGCACATGAGAGAGCTCTCGACACGACGTCGGTTCGAAAACTACTCGTCGACGAGACGACGACACTGGCACCGGCGCTCACACTGGCACTGCTGCGGCTGGTGCCTCCCAACGACCCGAGCTTGCCCTCGTTGCCGTGGTCCTCGGTACGTAATGCCTAATGTCTATTTCTACTTTGTATAAACACTGTTTGTAGCTCTTGTCGATGGAGACACCGGTTGATGTCTGCAGTCGGTTTGCGCACTCGGTCCTTGGCCTCTCGGAGACCAAGCGCTCGGCATTTAGGGACCTCATCACGGTATCTCATGACTCTAGCTCAACATAGTTGGTATCTTTGTGTTGTAGGAGGCATGGACGACGTCGCATCAGTCGGACGCAATGCTCAGTGTGCGCGCCGCGTCTTTGCTGCTGCTGTCGGTTGCGCCGCGTCCGTCTCTGGTATCCCTCGACTCTGTGAAATATGATCTTATCGTCACGTGTAGGCGTCGCTCTTGCCAGCGGTGTCCACCGTCTTGGTCTGGTCGGGACCACTCGATCGCTTCTACGCAGCGCTTTTGGGCGACGTGCTCTGCGTTCTCAGCGTCCTTCTCAGAGCTCGCTGCACCTGCCAACGTCGTTTCTCTCAGAGCTACTGGGCGCACTGCTCCGAGTGACATCAGACCGCTTTGCCGATCCCACGCTCCTCGAACGTCTTTTGGCGCCGATGGCAGCACTGCTTCCGCGCGTGCTGCCGCTGCTTTTACCGCAGGAGTCCACCAAACTCTCCACCCTCAGCAACCACGTCGCCGCACTCCTCGTGCACACGGAGGTGGCACCGGCGCCGCTCGCATCGATCCTCACGTCAATCGCCGAGTCGGGCGAGGTATCGATTGCGCCCACACACAACCTCGTGGCCGTGGCGTGGCGCCGGCTCCTTGGCGCCGCCGACACGATGCGACTGCGCGGCGTCTCGGCGACCGACAGCTTTCTGCTGTACGCAAGCCTCCTCACCGGTCTTTTCTTCGCCTCCAAGACGGCGCAGGACGACGCGACGGCGCTGGAGCTCCCGCGGCACATGGCCACCATCTACACGACGCTTTGCAAGCCGGCGGTCAACGCACCGGTGGCCTCGGCGGCACTCGCCCTGCTGATCAACTACGTCCGTGCCAACGACACCTCGAAGCGCGCGGTGGTTGCCCAAGGTGCG